TACATCTGAAAATTAATTTTAAAACACATATATTTTTGAATTAACTTTAATGTCTAATATTAATTTGTATCTTTTTTCGTGTTTAATTTGTTGTTTTTTGTTTTTCAACTATAAATTTAATTTATTGTTTTATTAAAAAATTGCTAAAATTTATTTGATTATTTTATTTTAAAATTCATTCATAAAATATATTTTTAAGGAAAGGAGTAAGGGGTTGGAAGAGGAGGAGTGTAGGATAAAAATTAAAAGTTTAATTTTTTATTTTTTAAGAATTCTAAAGAAAATGAATAATAATAATAAAAATACACCCTATTATAATATTTAAGTAAAAATAATTTTTTTTTAATAAGAGTTTACTTGCTATTTGTTAGTTTATGTATGAATGTGTTTGGTAAAATAATTATTTATCTTAAATTAAAGAACTTCTAGTTTTTAAAATTATTCTAATATTTAAACTTATAAATTAACATCATTTATTGAAAAAAGTTTGCATAAATTTAATAATTTGAATAAAATTAATAAATTTAATTTATTTATTGAATTTTGTTTTTAAAAATTAAAAAAAATTATGTTAATAATTTAAAAAAAGAATTGAACGATAATTTATTAGAATTATAGGATAGATATGAATAAATGAAAATATGATTTTATTTTATTTGATTTGAGCTACTATGGATTAGATCTAATTAAATAAAAAGCATTTTTGATAGTATTTTGTTTGGAACAGATAAATGATTAAGTAACACGTATAGAATGAAAGAAAAGAGATAGAATGAATTGCTTATCAAAAAGAATTTTTTAGATGCCAATATTGATTATTTCTTTTAAATAATTTATTTTTTGCTTAGAAAATCATTAATTTTAATTAATTAATTTATTAATTGAATAGCAAAGAAAGGATCAAAGAAAATAGCAAATAGAATTTCATAATATAAAAAGGAATAATTTATCTATTCGAATGTCTGTTTTAACATTTAAGCATTACAGCTTTTTGAGTATCCTGCTAGCAGGAGGAGCTATAATAAATTCTTATACTATTCATGAGCAATTCTATCCTACAATTATTTATCTGACAAATCAGAAATCTAATAAATTAATCATGCTCAATTTTTTTTTTATGTTGGGCTTAGCTTTTTTTAAGATGATAATGTCAGTATTCTTTGGAGAAATCAGAGAGATAGAAAAACTTGTAAATAATTATTCATTTATCAATTAAAAAAGCAATAAAACATTTTATTTAGATTCATATATATTGATTTACTTTTGATAAATAAGAGTATTTTAGATAGTTTAAAGAGAAAGATATTTGATATTGTATTCATCATATTGATTTACAAGGAAGATAACTTCGATTCCTCATTTTACTCATGGCTTATTGTTTTAGGATTTATATGGGTGATCCATTAAGCAGCAATTAAAAGATCAGAATATGTAAAGAAAAATATTTAAATTATATTTAAGATACTAATAATCTTATTAATTAATTTTAAATATTTGAAAAATAACATTGTTTTTTTGAAAATAGCTTATAGCTGAGAGCATAACAGATGTAAAGATGCACATGAAGTTAACAGTAATTTATATAGCACTGATTTGTTTGGACTCTTGTGTTCTTAGATATATGATAAAAGCATTCACAAATACTTCTGTAGATTCTTATTTAATTTTGTTTTTCTTAGAATATTTACTGATAAGCTTGAATATCATATTTCCTGCAATTAAATACTTTACAATAGCTTTTGAGATGTTTACATACTCTCATTTCTAAAATAAAAATAACTTCTTCATGGTATTAGAATTCGTTTTAACAGTTTGCAAATTGTGTATCTAGCTTTATATGAGAATTAAATACATGCTTTTATTCCCTTTTATAGTCGACTTGATTGAAAACCTTATCCAGCTTTACAATACAATAGTTAAATTCTTCTCATCAGTTAAGTTATTAAGGCTCTTAAACAAGTAAAATTGAATTTAATTTTAAACAAAACTAAAAAATGATGCTATTTAAAATTTGATTAAGCAATTGCTTCTCAGATTGTTTAATCTTAAAAGTCTTTTGAATAATTTCAATCTTTTTTGTAAAAAACTTTATTTTGAATTGAAAAGAGAGTCCAATCTTGATGAAAAATTAGATAAATTTTATACTTTATTTGTATTTTCAATGAAAGAAAATATTATTAATTAATTATTTGGAATTTAAAAGATTACCTGATGTTAACTTGGAGGAAATAGAAGAAATAGATAACACCTGCTTGATCTGCTTATCAGAAATTAAGCATGGAAAAAAGATTGGATGTGGTCACTTTTTCCACAAAAACTGTTTAAAAGAGTTAATTTAAGGAAAGTCAAATCAACTTTGTCCTAAATGCAGAAGCCCCATCAATATTGAGCAAGCCATTAAAGATCATCAAAATGAATCAAAAAATTAAAAAAAGAAAAATTCTGAAGCTATTTTCAAAATAAATTTTATTAAGAGCTAGAAAGATTCAGGAGAATAAAAAGACAGTAAAAATTAAGAATAATAAACTGAGTCTAAGAGATTTAAGTTTATAGAAAATGCAACCATCTAAGAAAAAATTATTTTCACTCTAGGTAATTAATGTTTATTTAAAAAAATGTCTTTTATTTTTACTACGTAAATTTGGTAGATAAAACCCAATTTCTTACTCCTAGTAGTAAATTTTAATATAAAATTTTTCTAATTTTAAAAAATCTAAAATAAATGAAATAAGTTTAAAATAGATTGAATAAATATTTTTAGCAAATCAATAACTTAAATAAACAATAAAAATATTTTTTAGAGAATCTATTTAATATATAAAATAAAATAGAAAGATAATTCATCCTAAAAATATTCATTCAATAAATTTCAAGAATTTTTTTATTTAAGTAAACAAATTTACTTGATTTGATAATTAAATTAATTTAGGATGATATTAATAATTTTATAAAATACTACATATTGATGAATTTAAACATTTTATTTACAAGTCATATCTTAAATTAATATCTATCTGCTTTTTATTTAAATAAAATAATATTCAAAGTTTATATTTATTTTTAATTTATTGATTGATTTATTTATTTATTTTTATAAAAAAGATGATCTTATTAATAACATTGGTAATATGATTAAATCTTAAATCAACGAACCTAAGATCATTTAGAGAGTTAAAGGCTTAATTTAAGATATCTTAAAACTTGAAGAATTGATTTAAACAAATGAATAAAAGAAATTAAAAGTAGAACTTAATCTGGAAAATATTTTTGATTTTAGTTAATTGCTTGCTAGCACAAACACTTCTTTGAAAAAATGTAATTTTTTATTTTTATTTTTCAGTATGCTAAAATTATTTTTATATTTAAAAGGTGGTGCTATTTCTTATGGACTGCCGAAAATAGCTAGCTACAACCGTACTTTTGCTGATGAGTGTCTGAGAAAAAAGATTGAATTGATGAATTTATTGCTTTTGAACTGCTAAAGAGATATGTTACTATAAACAATGTTCTTTGGGATTACTAAGAATTTGACTAACCTAAAACAAGACGAAAGTGAAAATTATTAATAAGAACAAAAAGGTTCTCATTAGACTAATGATGGTTTATTTAAGACTTAAAGTTTGAACAATAATAATAATTCTTCGCTTGCTGGTGAAACAAAAAAAATTACAAAAGATATTAGTTAGTTAAGTAAAAATACATCAGTTATCGTTGATGAAACATCCATTTTTTAGAAAAATAATTCGAAGATAGATCCTCAAGAAGAAGAAAGAGAGAGGAGATTAGCTTGGATAGAAAAATTGTAATCTCAAGTATCTTAATCAAACGAATAGTAATAAAATTAGTAATAAGAATAATAATAGCAATAAAACTAAAATGAAAATTAATAAGATGCTCTAGCCTCTAACTGATATAACAAAAATAAAATAAATTATATTATATCTTTAATTAATTTAAGGAATCTTTTTAAATTTAAATAAAGTTTAATTTAATAAATATTTTATTGATAGTAAGTATCTCTATTAAATTAAACATTTTAAAATTAGTTAATATAGACTAAAATATTCTCACATTTAATCTTATATTTTTACATAAGCTTATCTAATTTTACAACCTTTTCATAGTTTTTAGATTCTTGAAATTATCAAACAATTAAAAAAATAATTATGATTATTTTTCTTTTAGATTAGAAAAATGAAAAAATTATATTCAAAATTAAAAATTATATTTAAAAAAACATGCATTCAATTAAAATGGATTACTACTTTTCCTCATATATATAGTAAGGCTCAATTATATTAGCCCAAAATTATTTAACATATTTTATTTTTAAGAAAAATTTATTTTTTAATTTTTTCAAAAAAGCAATATTTAATGTTATAAATTAACTATTTATATACTATAAACACACTTATCAAAATACCCAATCTCTTTTATTAGATTCTCGAAGGTAGTTTTCTAGATCATCTCTTTTATTTAAATCAAAAGTGTCATCCCAGCCACTAAAGTTAATATTCTTTTCTACATCTTCTTACATTTTAAAAACTAGCTAGGGAGATTGAGTTGAACTCTTTTTAATAGAAGTGGTTCTTTGCAATTAATCATTGTTTTTTAAGCTGTAAGTTTTTCTGATATTTTTCATTTGTTGGGATTTAATTTCATTATGATTTTTATTAACAATTGGATTCTTGATAAAATTTATGTATTTTGAGTAAAGAAAAGTATTAAGGTCAAATCCCTTATCTTCTCTGTTTTCATTAGCAATAATTTTATTTTTTAAAATTTAGATGCTTTGAGGATCATATTATTCTAGCAAAGCTTGATAGTATTTGTTATTTATTACTTTATTTTAATTTTATTCTTATTACTATAATTCCTGCAAGTTTTGATTTTCAACAAACTAGCAGTTCTATATTGAAAAAGCTCTTCTCTTTTTGTTTAATTTAAATTCGTTGTACTTGGTCACATTTATTGATTAAATGGGCTAGTATTAAAATGTACTTACTATTTTTGGTTAGCTGTTCTAGCTTATTAAATTAGAGATGATTCCGTTTCTGCTGCTTTAATTGTTTTAACTTTAATTTTATTCTCTCATATGTTGTAAAAATTGCTATATCATTTTATTTTACTTTAATTTATCTGTCTCTTCTTTCTAATTAGGCACTAACTTTAGTAAGTCAATTGATTTAGTTGGTTTTTCTTGAGAATTTGATCTTTTTTTCTTGAAAATTTATTATTTTTAATGAAAATTGTTATTTGGAAATTAAATTTCTTTTAAATATAACGTATTTTCATGTAAATTTGATTGTGATAGGCGTGCTTCATTATGATTTAGATTTTAATTTTAATTTTAAGCACTAATTTATTATTTATATTCTAAATGCTAATTTCTTTCCTTTCTATTACTAGCTTCTTAAGAACTAACTATTTCATTTAATCAAAAATAAATTGGATTACAATTTTAAATATTTATTTACTTTCGTTGTTTAGTCTGCTAGTTTTGGAGTAAAATCGAGATGAATGTTGGCTATTGCTTCTTAGTCTTATAAGTGGCATTTTTTTACTTAAACTTAGGTCCTTTTTATTAAGATTTTACTATGAAATTTGTTCTTGAGAGTTTTAACTATTTTGTTTGCTTAAATTTGGTTCAATTATTTCATTTTTGTTAAATATCCTTTGCTCGACTTTATTTTTATGGAGCAAAATATTGTTGAATCCTAAAAATATTTGATTGCACTTTTCCTGCTTTTTTTTGTTTAACAAATCTTATAAACTGCTTTTTTGGCTATTTATCATAGATTTGCTTAGAGGATTTTAATGTGAAGAACGATTAAACTACCTTGAATTACGGATGATAGAATTACTTATATTATCATTCATATTTTAATTATAATGTTAGCTTAAAAAACTAGAATCAAAAATCTTGTTATCGACTCCTGTTTAACTGATTTCGCACTAGGAAAGACTGTGTTTGAGACTTTCAAAGTTACTGTTGAGTCTCTTAAAATGAGATTCACAATCTTATGGGGATGGTAGCCTTGAATTAGTATTGAGGATGTCAACTAAAGACCTTCTTATGATATGCATTCTACTATTCTTTCTCAAAAAGGCATTGTGTGGCTAAACAGAGGTATTCGGATTAAAATTTGCATTGTTTTATATTAATTCTAAATTAATTTAATTATTTTTGATTGGTTTGTATTGAGATATCTCGTTTTATTCTTAAATTTATTTTGATTATTAAAATAAATTCTATTAAAAATTATGTTCTTTGTAATGTTCTGAATCGAAATTTTGAGTTACGAAATTATATCTGTTGTCTTCGCCTTTGTAGTTTACGCTAGGCTGGCTAATGTAGTTTATAGTGATTCCATCATTCTATGTTAAATGATTTTAATTTTTGTTTTTGTTGATTTGTTTCATCTGATATTACTGAAATTGTCTGTCACTAAATGCGACATCTTACTAACTTGGCTGTGATTTATATTTGTTGAAATATACTTAATGGTTTCCTTCGTTCAAACTATCAAACGCATCTTAACTTTAAAAATTCTCATAAATATAATCAGTTTAATTGTATTTTTTTAGCTCTTCATTTTCTTTATGTATCAAATCAAAATCAAGGTTGGCTTTTGTGTATTTAAGCTATTTATACTATTTTAGTTTACTTTATTGTAATTGTTATTAAATATGAGGAATTGGCTTTTCAGAACTTAAAATTGTTTTAATGATTTCTTTTGTGGTGAGCTGTTGCAGGTTTATGCAGTCATCATTTTATTGAAGAACCTTTTTGTTTAATTTAAGTTGTTCTGCCATTATTTAAAGTTTAGAAAATTGGTCTAAAATACTCCCAAAACTCTTTGATAAACAATTAGAGTTACACAACAATCAAATAATTAAGTGAGTAAAGAAATTAATACAATTTAATTATTCAAACCTAATCTATTAAAGCCTGTATATAATAACAAAAATATTAAGTCAATCCTATTTGTTTACATGCAAATAATTAATATTCACCACTTTTTTAATTTTTGGAAGCATTATCACCACAATATTTTTTAATTAAATTAATATATTAATTTTTTTTTCTATCCATTTAAATTTTTTTATGCGAAATATTTATCTTTGTATTTTCTCTTCATTAAAATAAATAAATAATTAAATACTATTTCCATAATTAATTATTATCTTAGTACTTTTCATTAATTCAATTAAAAAATCTTTCTTTTCATTTTTTTTAGTTATTTTTGTTAAAAAAAATATCGAGATGAGCAGGACTCGAACCTGCAACCTTCTGATCCGTAGTCAGATGCTCTACCATTGAGCCATCACCCCGAGCACATGAGATTTTCTTAATTTTACAACAATTATTAAGCAAAATGTCATATCTTAAATAAATAAATTTAATTTAATTTAAAAGAAATTTCAAAATTAAACCAAAATACCAATTAATATCTGAAATATTTAGCTTTTTAAGGATTTTAATTAAATTAATAGAAAAATTAAATATATTAAATAAAAAGCAATTTTTAAGTAAAAATTACGAGATGAGCAGGACTCGAACCTGCAACCTTCTGATCCGTAGTCAGATGCTCTACCATTGAGCCATCACCCCAAATACATTAATATTAGTTCGAAAAGTGAAATTATTTGAAATGAACAGATGGCAATTCATTTAATTTTCTTCTAGCTTACCATTTTTTAAAAAAAATCAATCAATTTTTTAATAATCAAAGCATGCTCTTTAAAATTTAGTTAAAGTATTATGATGAAATTATTTGTATTTATTTTGCTTGTAAATTTAATTACTATTCAAATGCTTTTTAAGAAATTAAAAAATTTACTTTGTAAAAAAAAAATTACGAGATGAGCAGGACTCGAACCTGCAACCTTCTGATCCGTAGTCAGATGCTCTACCATTGAGCCATCACCCCGAATATAGTAATTTAGTGCTTATTTTTTAGATGTTTTTAAAGTAGGAAAGAGGAAATGGAAAAAATTCACGAGATGAGCAGGACTCGAACCTGCAACCTTCTGATCCGTAGTCAGATGCTCTACCATTGAGCCATCACCCCAGGTTGAAATTTTATTATTATTTTCTATTAAGTTGAGTAAACCATTCAAAAGAAACTAAATTTATTTTTAAAAAATATCGAGGTGAGCAGGACTCGAACCTGCAACCTTCTGATCCGTAGTCAGAAGCTCTACCATTGAGCCATCACCCCGAATTCAATAATATTAAGAAGCAGTTTTTCGCCACATTCTTTAAAATCACAAAAAGCATAAGCATTAAAAGTAAAAGTTTAAAGTGGCGTTTTCATACAAAATAAATGCAAGAAAATTACAAATTAAAATGTAAAGCTCGCAATTTTTGTAATTTTGGATTTTAAGATAAAAAATATCGAGGTGAGCAGGACTCGAACCTGCAACCTTCTGATCCGTAGTCAGAAGCTCTACCATTGAGCCATCACCCCAAATTCAACAATTATAAGATCCAAATTTTCACCACATTCTTTAAAAGTTTAAGTAATAATATCATTTCAAATATAATAAAAATATAAGGTGTATTTAGATAATAAAAGAAATTAAATTGCTTTTCTATATTCTTATAAAAAAATAATATAATTTGTTTTTTTGATTTTTAGTTAAAAAAATTACGAGATGAGCAGGACTCGAACCTGCAACCTTCTGATCCGTAGTCAGATGCTCTACCATTGAGCCATCACCCCAAATTCAATAATTATAAGATCCAAATTTTCACCACATTCTTTAAGAGTTTAAGTAATAATATCATTTCAAATACAATAAAAATATAAGGTGCATTTAGACAAATTAAGAAATTAAATTGCTTTTCTATATTTTTATAAAAAAATAACATAATTAGTTTTTTTGATTTTTAGTTAAAAAAATTACGAGATGAGCAGGACTCGAACCTGCAACCTTCTGATCCGTAGTCAGATGCTCTACCATTGAGCCATCACCCCAAGTATAGTAATTAAGAGCATAAAAATGAACAATAGATAAACATAATAAGAAAAATTTATTTATTTATTAGTTATTCATCAATTAATTATTTGATTTTTGTTATAATTTATTTAAAATAATTGAAGCTGTTTTATAGTAACAAAAAGAAATAAAAAATTCAGATAAAGCATAAAATAAAAGTATCATAAAATGTATAAATTAGGTTTTTTGGTATTGTTTTCGTTTTTTTCGCTAGAGTTTATAGCAGCAGAGTCCATAGAAAATAAGCAATTGCAAAATTAAAGTCAACTAAAATTGTTACGAGAATAAATTTGCTTAAATGAATATAAAGAATATTTTTATTCTAATGTGGATATTTACGATATCTCTAAATGCAGAGACAAATAAAAATGTCTTTCCAATATTCATATAGAATTTAGTAAGTGCAACTCTGCAAATAATAAAGAAAATAATTAAACTAAATTCTTTAATTGTATAGATGGTTTTCTATAAAAGATTGGTGATTGCAAGCATTGTATTTGTGACCTCTTTTAAGATTTTTATCTATGTTAAGGAGGCAGCATTTGGTAGCATTAAAATGAAAATGCATGAGTAAAACCAATAAATCAATAAAAAATCTTATTTATATCTATTGTTACTCGTAAATCAAAAAGAAATAATAAAAAAAAAATTAAATAAATAAAATATTTTTAAACATTCAACTGCATTTTTTATTTTAATATGAAGATTCATTGTTTTTTTTTGTTTATTGGCTCTACTTATAATTTGAAAATCTTTATTAACTTTTTATTATTTTGTAGATACAAAATGCTTTCAAAGTTAAGACCTAAAATGAAAAAAAAATAAACAGTAAAATATCTTATTAACTTTTTTGATAATACTTTTGGTTTACGAAATATCTATTTTTAATAAATTGCACAAGAATTTAAAATGTAGGAAAGTAATTAGCAAAAATAAATGCAAAGTGAAAACGAAAAGCAGCAGTAAATCGAAAGATAAAAGGAGTTATTTGGCACAGTAGTAAACAGAATGCATTCTCACTGCCTTAAATATGATGCTATCTCTATTTTTTTCCCAGAATACCAAAACCCTGAAGAAGTATCATGCAATTGGGTCGGAGATATGGACTTTAATGTTTGTCCTTATATCACAGAAGGAATACAAAAGCGAATCAAAACAAACAATATTTATGGTAAATATATTTTTTATGATAATAATTGAGTAATTGCTAATATATTAAAAAGGATATCCTGGTCTATTAATTAAATATGAACCATTTTTAAATAGCTTAATTAGTTGGTGTAGAAGAAGACACTCTTATGAAATTTAACCCTAATAAATTAACATTACATAGAATACACTATAAACAATTAGCACACTTTATCGCTTAAAGAGCAAAAAAAATCAAGGTATTATCATATAGACTCCTATTTATTACAAAATTATTGACCAAGCTACTATGATTGGCAGAAAAATTGTTCCAAATCCATTAATCTTTTAAGATGGTCTTTATTATATAAACTTTGAACTACTAGAAGAATAACTAGCAGATCCAAACAATAAAATTATGGTTTTCTGTAATCCACTCAATCCAAGTGGAAGAGTTTGGACTTACGATGAAGTCAAAAGAGTAGCTGAATTATGTCTAAAATATGATGTATTTTTGATTTCTGACGAAATATTTGCTGATCTTACTCTTCCTGGCTATAAGTAAATATTTGTTTACTATTTATTTCTTTTTAATAGCATAATTAAATTAGTGGATGAAATTACCCAAAAAAAGAATTAGATTACAATTATAATAGAAATGCTAGTTATTTTATTAAATTTTTCAAAAATATATTTAATATTTATTTTATAGTTAAAAAAATGTTTATTTAAAATTGCTTAAATAATTCTCACATCAAATAAATCAAAAAACAATTAATTTTTTTTTGGTGAAATGAAAAAATTTACTAAAATCAAATTGCTTATTTTATTTTTAAAATTAATTTTGATAACATTTTTTTAGATTTATTCTTGAACAAATTTTATTTATATTTCAATTAGACACACTATAGCAGGAAGCATTAGCAATGAAATTAACAATAATACTGCAACAATCTTTACTCCAAGCAAAGCTTTTAATTTGAGTGGTTTAAGCATTAGTACTGTTGTTATTCCTAACTAAGAAATTCACAGATAATTCACTTAAAAAAATAATTCTTAGGGCTTTTACTATGCCAACATATTTGGCTAAATTGCTTATGAAAACGCTTATTCTTTCCAAGGGGAATAATGGTTAACTGATCTTATGGACTATATTGTTAGTAATTATGAATTTATGTAATAGTATTTAACAGAATAATATCCTGATATTGAAATACTTTAAATGCAAGCTGGATATTTAACAATGTTAGATTTCTCCAAAACTAACTTACCCTATCAAAAAATTAAGTAGATTCTAATAAATAGTAATGTTTTGCTTGAAGATTTGTCTGATTTCTTTTATCCTAAGCAAACTTCTTAGCTTTTTAGAATCAATATAGCATGTCCTTAAGTTAAGCTAAAGGAATGTCTTGAAAAAATAGTCCATGGTTTCAAGTCTTAAAGTAAAAACTGACAAATTTATGAAGAGTTAAATTTTAAGACATATTAATTTATTCATAAATTTTATCTATCAGAGGAGCTTAGAGAAATCATAATTTCAATTTTATATTTTCTTTTTGTTAATTTAGTTAAAATATTTTAAAAAATGAAAGTTAAACAAACATTAACATATTTTTAAGATAGATAAAATAATTATAAATATTTGTTTAAGTTCTGAAAATAAATAGTTAAAATGCCTATTTTATATGAATTATATAATAATTTTAAATACTTTAGATCCTCTTTATATATGTGCAGAGTTTATTATGTTTCATTTTTTAGGAATTATAGGGTAATTCTTTTTTACCATCAATTATATCCATTATCCTAATTTTGTATTTCTTAAAGATCACAGTTTAGTATCATATCCTTTTAATATATTTTCTGATAAATTAAAAATTTTAGATAGATTTGTTTATATATTAAATCTCTTTAAACTTAGTTTCAAAAAAACTTTTAGGTAAAATATTTTAAAAAATTTAATTTCTTTTTTAGGAATTTATTTATTTTTTCAGTGCGTTTTAGTTATCTGTTAAAGTTTATATAATATTTAGGAGTTGAATACAATATAATATTTAATTTACAATAAATATTACATTTAACACATTATAATTGAGTTAAATTAAATTTAAATTATAGATTTATTTTGCAATAAATATTTTACAGCAAATTTATATAAAATTTAAACTTTCTGCAATATTAATCATTCATTATGCTTATTATTGCTATTTTTGAGAAGGAAATTATGTGAACTAATGAGAAGGATCATATTCAACAGCAGAAGTTTTAAACTCACTTTCTGGAATTCCTCTTTTGAAAATTTTAAGATTTCTAAAATTCTACTTAATATTAGTGTCTCTTAGGGATATAACTTTCATAGCATCAAGTTGTTAAAGCATATCAAACGAAGCGTAAGAGAGAGGAGTTAATCCTTCTACATTTGTTTTATCAAGATTTCCTCCTGCTTGTATGAATAACATGATTAAATTCTTATTATTTGACTAACAAGCCATATGAAAAGGAGTATTTCCCTCTTGACAGACTTAATTTACATCAGCTCCAAGTTCAACTAAATACTAGCAAAAATAAATGTTGCCATGGAATGCAGCATAATATAGTGGACTGTTTTTATTTTCGTCGCATTTGTTAACATCCATTGTGAAAAACTGGAATTTCCCCTTTTCTATGTAAGCAAAATTGTTACTCTTAGCAGCTCCAATTAATTTTTAAAATCTATTTGAAACATCTTAATTCAGAATGACCTTTCTGTGATAATTCAACTTCATTTCATTTTGCATTGCCTAATTGATATTTTTAATTTTAGTTTAATGATTATTTAATTTATTATTCTTTTCTTACCAAATCATAATGAGCCTGTGTAAGAATAGATTTTCTATGAACTTTACTGAACCTTGATTTCTTTTTAATTTTTTTAGATTGTAATTCATCAGAAAATCCTACTTTTGGTGAGCCATTTTATGACTTTTTGCTCTTAGGGGTCATTTTATCTATAATTCCTTTAGGTGAATAAAGTTCTAGTTTGATTCTTTCCTTAAGAAGCATTTTTTCTCTTGTTTTTTCTGCTTTTCTTCTAATTTCAGCTTCTCTCCTTTTCTTTTCTTTTAAGGCTTTTAGTATTTTACGTGCTAAGTATCCTCTTGCAATAGCTTATACTCTTATGATTGTCTTAATTTGCTTTTCTCCATAATATTTTGAATTTATCTATTTTTTATTGTTAAAATTTTGTTTGAATCAGCTTTTTAAATTCAATTATAAAATATTTATTTATTTTTACATATGAGCTTTACAAAGGACCTCCAGTGTAGAAAGAAGCGAAGTTATTTTTATCATGGTTTTCCTGATCCTGAGCTTTTGATTATATGAATTTTCTTTTAAATCTCTTAATTTCATTATCTACAATCTTTTTTTCGTTAGGAGTGATTTGGTTGTATTCGTCTCTGTGCTCCTCTGAAGATACAAAAAGTTTAATAAAATAATAAATTAATTTAAAATTTTTACCAACAAATAATTTGGAAGAGGGATGGTATGATCTTCTTATTTCATTCTTAGGATCATCCTCGTATTTTGCTTTGTTTGTCAGTCTTTGAAGAAGGTCAACGCCTTCAGCAGCAGATATTTTATCCAGCATTTTTTACTTCTCTTAATTATCTTTCTTTTTTTGTTTTATTTCTTCTATCTTTACAGCTTATTTGGGAATCGAAATATGATTGATAAATGTATCTCTCAGACTCTGCTTTTCAAAGATACTTTTCTTTATATTATCAACAAATTTCTATGCAACATGATTAGCAGGGTTATTAGATTTGTCTTTGCTCGCTAAAGCAAAAGACAATCTGTTTTAATTTTCTATTTTTCTCATTTCCTTTTCTATTAGTTTTTTGTCAAGAGATCTGCACACTGCCTCCATCCTCTTGTTCATTTTAATTTTTTCTTTCGCCTTCTATAAATCAATAACTTTTTATTCCTGCCTTTGTTTAAACATGTCTTGCTCTTAAAGCAGCTATTTATTTTTGTTAAACAAGTAATTCTTACGATGAAAGAAGATAATTTCCTTGATAAGCTCGTATGTCTGTATAATATTCTCTGCAAGCAAGTACTCCAGATTAGATTGAATACCTTTTTTTTAAAAGAACTTAATACCTTTATCCAAGTAATCTCTATCGATAAATCTATTTAAAAGCTAATTTGTTGAAGCTAAGAAACTCAGCTACTCATTTGTGAGCATTTCTCCCTCTCTATATTTTTACATTAATTTTTCTTTGTTTCTGTCACTTTTCAAGTTTTTGAATAAATCTTGCATAATTGGAAAGAAGGTTATCAAGTTCATATTATTTCCTTTACTGATTTTATTATTTTTCTTCCTGTTTTCCTTTCTCAGCTCTATAAAAGCATTATCTAACTCGATTTTCCAATCAATTTACGAGTACAATTTCTCACCTAACTCTTTTATGTAATCAGACTTGTCAACGTATTCAGTTATTTTATTTACTAATTTTTCATCTAAAATCTCTTCTTTTACGTATGTATTTTCACCATATACATACTTTTTACCTTCTTTATTAGTAACTCTTGGAATAGAGGTAACTTCAGCATCTTATTCTCTCTAGATATTCTATTAATAATCATACAACTAATTCTTTTCCCCTTTTTAAACTGAACTCTAACCCTGTTACTTCTCAGAGCTAAACAAAATGCTTTCTTCAGCATTATTATTATACGAACTTAAGTTTGTGGCTGATTGATTGAAAGATTTCCTAAAGTTGTGTTAGCTGTCTAACTAAATTGAATTTCCTTTTCTGCCTGACTACTTAGTAATTGAGGTGTTAATATCAGTCATATTTGAGTGATCAGTATGCATTACTGTAGAAGCAAGGTGGGAATTTTTTTCTTAAATATAACCTCTTGAGCTCAAAGGATAATTTAAAATTTACTATTTTGCAAAATTATTTTTGCTAAAGTCAATACTGTGCTTCCTAGGAGTTTGTTCTTTATTTAAACTGCCATTATTTTCTTAATCGTTTGAAATGACTTTAATTGAATAAGTATTAGCTGTTTTAAATAACTTATTATTTGAATCTCCAACTTAAAGTGGTGACTAAGGAGGACTTTCTAACCCATTCGACATGCTACCTCCATATTCTTTACTATCAATTGAATTTTTCTTATTTGGTAAGCTAGCTATTGAAGGCTACTACATTTTTGGCATCTCATTTGTAGTCTATTACTTTTCTTTTTCAGACTGAATGTTATCTAAAATATAAGTCTAAGTTTCGTACTTATTTTTAAATTATTTTAAATAATTAGATCAAAGTAATTTAAAAATATATAATTATTACATCATTCAATTTTTTTACTATTAGCTACTTAAGCTCATTCTCTAATGCCTTGTATTCAGTATCAATATTCATCCATTCAAAATCCTATTTTTCTCTCTTATTTAGCTTATCTTTTAGATCTTAGTACTCTTCTTCCATGTTTTCAATTTTTTCTGCCCTTTCTTCTTAGGACTTTATCCATTTTTTATACAAACTGGTTACTGTATTGTTTATCGTTTTCATGATATATTCTTGCTTTTCCTACTCTTTTTTAAATCCTATGACTTAAGCTTACCCAATACCAAATTCTTTTAATATCCTAGTTATTTAAAATTGATATATATTTTAATTTTCATCAAAATGTTTATTTATTTATTTGTTAGTTAGGCACAATAATTTTTTAATTATAACTTATATATTTATTTATTTACTTAGAACTTAATAGAGACTATCTATCAGAAAAAGAGTTTACATCCTCAATTTTATTTAAATCAATCTGAGAAAGTCTTAGTTACTCAAGCATTAAAGAACCTATTCCTATCTTGACTAAGTTATCTTAAATTTCTTCAATATTTTTCAAACTTTTTATCTTAGGACTTTCGTTTGCAAACTTCACTGTTTTAGTTTATTAATGATCTTGAATTAATTTCTAGCTAGTAACATTAGATTAAATCTTATTAGGGGAATTGTTTCTTGGTGAGATGGCAAGTGATTTTGAAGGAGATTCTAAAGCTGTATTTTTTCTTGATTAAGATCTTTGAAATTTTTAACTTTCATCAGTATTCTACCTTTTTATATATTTATAAATTTGAATGTATCGTGTAAATGTTGGGATTTCTAAAAGATAGATTAAGGGCAATTAGATAATAATAATTTTAAGTGAAAATCAATCAATATTTCTTTACTTTGCTTGACTTTAGTTAATTTATATTAAATTATAGAGTAATTTGTTTGATGATATATGAATTTTGAATCATTTATTTTGTTATTTAAGTTACTTAAAAATTTTGGGGAATGGATTGATAATTAATTAGATTATTATTGCTTGTTGTTTGGATAACTTTTATGTAGAAAGATTGTATTATTAAAACAATACTTGTTATAAATAAATGCTATTTTTTGTCTTTTACTTGGGATTTAATGTAGCTTGAGTAGAATAAGAAGGGAATCCTGATTAGCTACTATGCTCATATCTAGAAATTTTGCCATTTTGTGTTCCTGAATTTTTTGATTAATTTTAAATTGTTCCTTGAATTGAATTTTGTGAAACGTAGTTGTTTTGTTGCGTTTTTCCATTCAACTTAAGAGGAGACATTTGAGTGTCATTCATATCAAGGTTTGAGAAAGATTTTGTTGAGCTCACTCTCATGGTATCGTTCATATTTTTCCTAATAATAAAATTTGGTGCACAAATTTAAGGCATGCTACCATTTTTACTTAATGTTTTGCTTTTTTGAGTTAGCAAAATCTGATTTGTGTTTATGTTACCTGCTGATTATCCTGCGTAAAGATTATCTACTGAACCATTTAAAATAATCCCACTTGGTTGCTTTTTTAAGCTGTTTTATCTTTTGTATCCTCCATCAAGTCTTAAATGAGACTTAGAATAGATTTTAGATTCTTAATCAGCTTTTGTGCTGCCTCTCGACAATATTTAATCAAACTACTTTTCGTAGACAGTACAAAAATCATTGAATTTCTAATCTATTTTTTCTAATGTATCCAAATCACCATCATTTTTATGCTTTTCCATTTCATGCAATTTTGCATGCTAAATATATTTCCTAACTTTGAAATCCATCTAAAACATTTTTCCAATTTTAATTGAATCTTGATTATTAGTGATAAAGCTTGTATTTTGTAACAAAAATATATTAACTTAGAAACAGTTTCGTAAGAATGTAATTTATCTTATTGATTGGCTATATAGTTAGCCTTTTGTTTTTGCGCTACTATTATCTATATATCTAATAATTTAATAGACCAAATTTTCTTTTAGTTTATTAGATTAATCAGCCAATAAGCATTTAGGAATTATATTTCAGCAAACTCAATGATTCTTAATATAATAATAATCATCTCAGCAATTTTCACTGTCCTTAGGCGTAAGTAAGTATCATTGTATATATAATTAAATTAATTTTTTCATTTTTTTGTGTTAATCTTTCAATGTAAATCCAAACATTAAAAAGATAAAGATAGCAAACAAGATATTTAATAATCTCCTAGATTCAATTAAAATTACTTATATCTGCGATCTTCTAAAATTTATTTATGCCAATTTTTGATTTGAAAAAATATACAAATATCATAAACAATATTATGTAAATAATTTCTAATTATTATTTTTTTTAGTTAAAATTATTTCCCAATTGTGCGAATAAAACCTAAATTTTTTTCTGAATTATCATTGCAAATAAATTTAATAAAAATCAAAATTTCATCTTTGTTGATATTTCCATTAAAATATCAAAAAAATTGAATAATTTTTTTAATTCAAAAAAACATTAAGCGCCAATGAATAAAAAAATTTAAGAATAATGGATAAATGCCCCAAATAATAAGCCAAATAATGTATTTTTAAGTTATAATTTTTAAATGAAGATTAAGCTTTATTTTTTATTTTAAATAATAATTAATTAGATTTTTCAAAAAATTATAAATCATTGTAAAATCTATAAAAAAAACCAAATCATAATCAATAAAGATAAATCAATTAATTGGAAATTTGTTTGAAGTACAAATAATTTTATAAAATATGTAAATCTTAACTTATTAGTTATAGATAAACAGTTTGATTAAATTATTTAGCTTTGATTTATTCTTTAATAAAATTTATTTATTAAACTTGTTATTAAAATTATTTTTAAATTTAGTATAAATATTGTTTAAAATTTTAATATAATAGTTATTTGAATGATATAATTTGTTGTTATCAAATAAATTCATTATTGTTTAAATCCTATCTTCTTTTTAGCCTACTATATAAAGCTCTAAGCAGGAGTCAATGGTAAAAGTTTACTACTTGGCGATCCTTATTTTTAAGCTTTAGATAGAGTGTTTTTAACTTTTTTCATATGACCCTCTAAGCCTTCTTAATATTCTGTGGCCTTTATTATTTAATTATATTGGTTAAAATTTTTATTTTATTAAATATTAATTAATTATATTTAAATTATAAATAAATAAATTTAATACTTCATTGATTGTATTCTGCCAATTAAGTTCATCTCTATAAAATTTAGTTGGATCGAATTTCTTGTTACTATACATTCTTTGTTGAGTTTACCATAAAATGTCTTCTATTTTCTTCTTCTTTTTCATTTCTTCGGTTTGTGCTGACATCATAAGCAAGAATTCGTTTTGCTTTTTCTAAAGCTCACTATTCATTTAATCGAAGTCAACATTAATTTAATTTTTTTCCTTTTAAATTTATAAAAACAATTTTTATCTGTAAAAAATAATAATATAAATTAATTTTTACTCTGTCTCTTCTGTATTTACGAATTTGTTTCATTATTTCATCTGATTGATTGGAATGTGTTCTGTTAAATCTAGTTAAGACTTAAGATAGATATTCTTTAATTTATTACTTTTGTTACTATTTTTCTTTTAGGAGTTTCAGCGAAACATTTCTTTTTTCTGAGTTTTTAGTTTCTTAATTGTCAAAAACTTCTTTAACGTTAATAGTTGATTTATTTTGATTTAAACTTTCATTTTCTGCAGCTGCATAATAACTTTTGTTATTTCTATTGCTGTGTTGTTAATTTCTGTCATTTTCTTCTTTTTCTGTTATAGATTAGTTTTTAAGAGAATTCTGGTTGTAGTGAATAAATTCTTCCATTTATTTAATTAAAAAGCTGTCAGTTATTGAGCTATTGTTTATTTCTTTGATAAAATGCTTACTTTCTTCAATTTAATCAGTCTTATTTAAAATATTTCTGTCTGTAATTGACATGATTTAATCAATAGAAGAGCCGTTTATAGCTGTTAAATTAGGTAGATTAATGACTGATGAGTAATTATTGCGTTGAAACTAGTCATTTAAACTTGTATTATTTTTATGAATAGAATCATCTGCACCTGTTATTATTGAGAGCTTTTTGTTGAATTGATTGCTCGAGTTATTTGTTTTATTTTATAGTATGCTTCTTCTTCCTGGAGAACTAGTTAAAATTGACATCAGATTCATAGGCTAGCTGTTGTTATTTGTATTTCCAGAATTTTGATTATTATTTTAATTTTTATGATAATCTTCCTCTTTTGAATTTTCATTTTAACTTTTTTGATTGATTTATCTTATTGTTTCCTATATTTTTTGGCTAAAGCTTGATTAAAATAACTTATTTGGAATTATTGTTATTGGGGGTTCTTCTATTAGTTTCTTACTAGCCGTTATATTTTTAGCTTGCTAAATAAGTCGCATATTCTTTAACTTTAGCTATTCATAGGTCAGTTCTTTTTAAACAAACAAAATTAAAATAAATAGATTATTTCTTTTAAAAAATTTATAATTTATTTTTAAAACGATTAAATAATTTTTTCAAAAAAAATTAAACAACTTATCTGAATAAAATTCAAAAGCTCTTTCCAAAAAAAATTGAATAACTTATTTGAAAAAAAATAAAATAACTTATTATAAAAAAATGAAGTTAAAATAAATACTTTAAGAAAGATTTTTTGATGGCCTTTGCTTTGATTGTTTTTTATCCCTTGAACTATAGAAGTAGTTTTAACCAATTAATTGATCCATTTAATCTTAATTTTGTTAATATAACTCTTTTTCTACTCTTTCTTATTCTTCGTAGTGGCTTTTAATAATTTCTTTAATTTGTTTTCTGTTTTTCTACTTCTACAATAATTATTTCTTTTCCCAAGTATCTACAATATTATCTTTTTCTTCTTTGTATGTAAGCATTTCTCTTTTTATTTACTGATACCCTTTTTAGAATTTGTTTTCTCCTTCTTAAGCTGCTGTAGCAATATTATTAAAGATTTCATTATTCTTTCCTCTCAATTATTCTACTTATCTTCTCATTATATTTAAATCCTAGAGAGTCATTGTATTAAATATGTCAGCAACTTCATGGTTTTATTTATCATTTTTATCTTTGTGTTGAGCTGTCTACAAATTTCTAGTGCTATGAGATAAGGTATGATGATGGCCGTTTTATTAGTGCAGATCCTATTCACTCTCTTCTGTTTTTATATGAAGCCCATTCTTTTTACCACCAATAAAGCTAACATCATTTTTACTTTGAGAAGCAGCATTTTAATTTTTTTGATGAAAATGTCTTATTTGGATATGATCACTTTCTTTTCCCTATTAAATTTAGTCTTTCTTTAAAGGTGTTTTAGCATTAGCAGAAAACGCAGATAATTCTTTGTTGCTTTTGGTTTCGTTCAAATTCTAATTTCCTTTACCAATTATGCTACTAAATCTACTTTAATTAAGAGTTCTATTAAAAGTGTTGAGCTTATCATAAGATTATGAATTTTATTCATTGTTTTAATTTTATCTATAAGAGTTATTATTTGTGAAGCTAATCTGTTTTTTATTATAATTCTTAACAGAATTGATTGGTGTTTAAGAAATTTCAGTTTTTTATTTAAAGCTAGATCTTGTAATTTTATAATTATCAGTATAATTTTCTTTTTTTGGCTCTTTTAACGAATGAATTTAATCATTGCTACTCTTTCTGCTTTGAATTAAAAAATTTGGATCCTCATTCATGTGATTAGTACCTAAATTTTTCCTCTCAAAGCTCGTTTTAATAGGAGATGAAAGAAATTCAGATTTGCACTTGTTTAATTCTAATTTTTAATCCTATTAACTTTAATCATAGCTGCTTTGAAATTTGTTGAAATAATTGGAGAATCCTTCTAGCAAATTTTAGTTGTTTTTTTTCTTTTTTTCACCCTCTTAATTGAGAAATCCAATTTTATTGCTAACATCTCCACTTTGGTCAACAGATTCTTCTTATTAGTTATGTGAATATCTCCTATTCGAATTACTCATATAAGATTATTAAGAGAGATTAAACTTTTTTTATATTTGGACACTCAGATCTAGCGAATTTCTAATAAAAATATTTTTTTAAAGCATTTTCGGAGACATAATTTCTTCAAATTAATTAAACTTTTAATCTTATCCTCTTTTCTTAATTCTTTCACTCACACTTTAATACCCTAAATTAGTCTTTATTAAAAAAAATATTCTTTCTATTTATAAAAAACTTTTGAAATATTTAAATAAATCTATTAATTAATTTATGAATAAAAATGTGTTTGTTTGTTTGTTTGTTTACTTTTTCAAGTGTATTTTATTGCTATAAATCGATGCTTTTCGAATCTGAGCGACGAGAGGCTTATCTTTTTAATGACTCTGGCTAAGTTTGCAAATCAGATTTTACTAGCTAAGGATATTTAGCAAAATTGTGTACTTTTAATTCTGGAGAGTTTAATGAATTTTATCTTTTTGTTAAAGGAGAATTTATAGAATTTTAACTACTTTTTTAAGGAGAATTAGCAATTCTATTTTTTCTTACCTTTTATGAGTCGTCAAATACATTTGCAGTTGGAGATAACTTTTCAATATTGACTTTATGAGTAAATGAAGACTATGAATTGTGTCTTTAGATCTAGTGGTGAGACCTCTTTGGGGAAGTATTTGCTGTTTTTCGTTAGAAATAAGATGAACTTGTACCAGTTTTTTCTCTTATAAATGAGTTAGAATTCTAATTTTCATTTCCTAATGAATTAAGTCTTTTAATATTTTAGCTACTTTCATCTGTATTTCTTATATTACTATGTCTTGACCTTTATGAATTTGGTATTTTATCTTAGCGAGGTGAATTTGTTTACTAAAAATTCCTTGCTGTTTTATATTAAGGTAATGAGCTATTATTATTATTATTATTATGAGATATATTAACAGCTGCTAAACTTGATCTTTTAAGTGATTTTTTAGAAGATCTTTCAAAATTAGACGAAATTGAATTTCTTTCCTTTATAGTTTGCTCATCTTTAATCTGTTAAAAACTCTTTTTCTCAATTTATAAGTACTGATTATACAAATACCTACTTTCTACTATCTCCATTCTTGGTCTCTTAGCCAAATTTGGAATTTACTCAATATTGTCATATCCCAAAAATTTTAGATAAGGATGCAGCTCTTCTCTTTCATTTGAAATAAGTTTCATATTCTATTTTTGATTTGCATAATTAGGGCTTCTAAGTACTTCAATTAATCTAATTTTATCTGTTTTAAACTATCTTTAGTTAAAATTGAATTAGTCAATTTTTTTTTTAAATATTAAGATAAATAATAAAAAATAATTTAAATGTGCTCTTTTGTATTTTGTTTAAAAACTTTAAAAATATTTTTTCAAGCTAAATTAATTATTCATAATTTTAATAATAAAGAAATGAATTGAATTGATCATCCATCTTAAAGCTTTAAAAAAGTGGAAAAAATATTTTTATAAAATTTAAAAAATTAAATAACAACCCTCATTTTTAAATTTTGACTTAAAAGCATTTTTTCAAGATGAAGTTAGAATTTTATTATTGCAAGGGATTAATGAAAAATAGATTTAAATATTTATCATCTCTTTTGTATCTTTGAGTATTTTTTAATTAGTGTTTTAAATATTTTAGAAAAGATTGCCCTTTAAATTTTGTTTATTTGTTAAACATTTTCAACTTTCTAATACCTTGAATGCTTGGCTTCATGCCTTAAAAATTGTAATAAATTACTTTAAAGTTGTTTTATTCGTTTTATATGTTGAAATTATTTATAAATTTGATAGTAATATATTTATATATAATTTATAAATAAGCTTTGAAAGTTTTTAATTACTTATCTTGCATCTTTTTTGTTTTAGCTAGTTTTTTAATATCAGGAATAATATCTTCACAGAGTTTTTGCATTTTATTAATGATTTTGTTGAATTTAGCAAAATCTACCTGTCTATCTGTACTGTCTTTACTTAAGTCAGAAGGTTTAATTATATTTAGAGTTGTTGAATATTTCTAATTCATCTTTCTTCTATCAAAATTTGTAGATGATTAATTTTCTATAATATAATCATTACTTCCTTGATTGTCTTCAAAATTATCATTTTCATCATTATTTATGTCCTCGTTTGTTACTTAATTTCCTTCAAAATCTTTACTAAAAAAAGGTAGCTAGCTTAAAGTCATTTTTTGGCTCTAGCTCATACTTTATTTTACATTAGAATTAGAAATTTCCTTTAGAGATTTAATGCGATTTCCTTTTTTCTACTTATCAACTTCCTTCGAATGAATTTCTGATATGGTAAAACTAAATATAATTTTTCAATATTGTTAAAATTATTTTTATATGATTAGTTAATAAATAAATTAATGAATGAATTTTATGCTAATAAATTTTCTATTTTTATTACGATTTAATATCTTCAACCCTAAAACTATCATTTTTCTTTTTTATTTCTTTAAGATCCTTTTAAGAATTTTTTATGTTTGAAATGAGTTTGTGCATAACCCCTTAAAACTCTAAGTATTTTTCATTTTTATTTTTAGCAAAACTCTTCTTATAATACCAATTTAGTTTATTTAACTCCATTTTATTCTTTTTATGTATATCTTCACCCAACAATTAATTAACTGTTTTAGCTTATCTCTTCATCATCACTAATTCTCTCTTTAGTTAATCTTTTTACTCTTTCTACTACTATGAAATGAAATCTCTTTTCGGTTTCTTAGCGGATTCCGCCATTTTGTAATAATCTGAAGGAGCTAAAAATGCTGTAAATTAACTAGCCATGGCTGAAGAGTTAGCTTTTGATGAGATTCCACTTATTAACTTACTTCTTGCTTTCTTAAACTAAACAAATACTTGATGTATTTTACTTATTGCTAATCAAAATTAAGAGTTATTCTACCAATTATTTGTTACTTTAAAAGTAAAAAAATATTTGATTAAGTGATAAATAATTTGATCAATAAATAAATCCTATTAAATAGTTGTAATAAAATTATTAATTAATTTACAAAATTTATATTAGCGAGAAATAAATAAATACTCAATAGATGTTTTGATAAATAAATATATGAATTATTTATTTATTTCTAAGCAAAAATATACCAAGTCGTTATATATCAATCATAAATAATACAAAGAACCTCAATTTGCATAAACATTTTAAATTCTAAACTTTTATCCAAATTAATTTTTAATTCTTAAAATATTTATTAATTGATTATTAATAAAAAAAGTCTATTCCTAATTCATTATTAATTACTTTGTGATTAACAAATAAAATTAATTATCAAAAAAAAATTATATTCTATAAAAAATACATTATAATTTTTCTATATCTTGGGAACTTTTTTTTAATAGTTATATTCATTAAGTTATAGATGACCCCTTATATTTTAAATGACCTCGTTTTTAGCGAACGATTAGTAAATGAGGGACATGGGTAAGAGGAATGAATAGCTGTAAATAATAGATATGTTCTTTATTAAAAATAAAACAAAACTGATGATTAAAAAAAATTTTTTTACACATAAATATTATTTAAAAGAATAACAGATAGAAGGATGTTAAAAAGTTTAACCATTAGATTAGCCTAATTAAAGATGACAAGCATCAAATTCAAAAATAAATAAAATGTATTAAGACACAATTATCAATTACTTTAACTATTTATCTATCTCATAGAGTAAGCTGGATATCGCTTAAGCCAGAATCTCTATAACAACAAAAATAATACTCTTTATTAGGATTATATGTAAATCTCATAATAAATAAATCATCTTCTGAAAACTCTTTTTTAAAGGTTATGTAATTTTTCTCTAATTTTACTAGGATAACATCTTTGTCAAAGAATTAAAAAGAATTTTAAACTTTGTTTTAGCTAATATCTTCTTAATTCCATGAAAACCCGTCTGAAGAAATTAGATAATAGTATAAATTGTATTAGATGAGATCTGAGAATTTTTGTTATGAAATTGGAGTATCAGTTTTATTCAAAATTCCTATACCAAGAAAACCATCTGCTTTTTTGACTTTAATTTTAAAATACTTATTTAAATCAGTTTAGCAAATAGGATAATCAAAATAAAATAGCTGATTTTAGTACATGCTGATTTAAGTTGGTTGAAGTAATTTTTTAGTATCTAGGTGTTAACTATTATAACTTAATTAATCATAAATATTGTTAATCATGCTATTTTATATTTCTAAGACTTTTTGATTAATCTAATTTATTTTTAGGCTATTCAAATTCTTTTTTTCAAGTAGTTTTTCAATCAAATTATTTTATGCTTCAGAAAAAAATTGTAAATTATTTTAAATTTAAATTGTTTTGGAATTTTATATTTAAGATATTTATTCTGAAATTTAATCTAATTCTGTTTATTCCTCTTAATTTATTTCTAAGTTTTTAACAAATGTTTCTAATTAGTCAATAATGCAGCTAAAAAGATGTTGATAAGCTTTTAAATTAGAAACATTGTGATATCTTTCATAATTTTTTAATGCACATTTAATTTAGATCTCACTATTTTAAGTGTTCTACATCATATTTTAAACATAGAATTAGATTTCTTCTTCACTAATCTTCTTTGTGAGGAATTATCTTAGTTTATCTTTTTAAGAAACCTGATTATAAATTCTTAAAATCTCAGAGTGATTGTAGCTAAAATCAATATCCTAAATTTTATTTAAAAGAACCATGATATCCTACTTAAATGTTTACATGTAGCATGCTTTTATTTATTTGCTTTAGTTACTTTAAGAGGCTTCTAGTAACAGCTAAAATAGCTTGACTTCAAAATCTTAATCATCTAATGGTGGCCAATTCGTTATAATACTATTTTCATCAGCGGATAAGCATTCTTCATTTAAAATGAGTTATTAGATACTTAAACCTTTTATTTTCGTGCAAGTAGAGCAAATAGGTATTAAGCTGAAACTTTCCCTACATATTTGCAAATACTTTGAAGGATTCTAAGGATGATATTTACAGTTTAATTATACTTTTTATTCTAATGTGTTCATAATAAAGAAAATATTTGTTAAACTAATTTTTTAATATACTTAATAATGATTTTGCTTCTAATCTTTAGATATTGTAAATAAAAAAAAGCTTTAAACTAATATGTAAATATTAAAGATAATTTAATCAGTAGTAAAAAAATAGCTGTTAATATGGATATTTATTTCATTTTGCAAACACCTCTACAAAATCTAAAAAATAAGCAATAAAAGAAATATTTTAGCATCTAATATTTGCTAAAAATAGATAAAATAAAAATATATAATAAATAAATAAAATTAATAATAAAAATATTAAAATATATAATAATAGAATAAATCAATATTAAAATTTTTGAAACTAAACAAAAAGGAATATAATAATTTAATTTTCTAAAAAGCTAATATTTTTTTTTTCAGATATAGATATACCATAATGATATTAACATAATAAGACTTTATTTATTTATTTATTTATTTATTTATTTATTTATTTATTTAAGACTGTGTTATTTATATTTTAACTAGGATTTTCTTTTAAAGAATGTAATTTTAGACTTAATTAGAAAAATGATCATTTATGGATAGATTCATGAATAACATAAATATACAATCTGATTTTTCAAATATAGCAGGTCGATATTTTAAAAATAAGATATTACATTAAAAAAGTGACCTCCTAAAATTTTTTAAAAATGAATTTTTTGCATTGCTTAAATTAGAGTAATTACCATATTTTATAAATTGAAGTTTTTAATATATTTATTTGATGTGAATATGAATATAAAGTTTTTTTAATTATTATGTGAATATTAAGTGACTATTTTATTGTTATTAGTGTTTAAGAATAATATTATAGATTTACTTTTATTTAAAATTAAGTATGAATACAAAAGCTTGAAAAGCTGAATAATTACTCAATCTATTATTGAATAATAAATAAGTTTTAGCTTAGATTATTGAATAGTTTTTCTTTAAAAAGAGTGTTATGAATATATTTAAAAATAAACAGAGCTATTTTTATCAAAGGAAAAATGTAATTTGAATTGAATATCAAAATCAAGATATGCAAAATTTAAAACAATAAATTTAGCCTTTTTATTTAAGGTTAATTTTTAAATTTTTGATTTAAAAATAGGTTTGATAATTTTAAGCTAATTTAATAGACAAATATTATTTTTCTCTTTTAATAGTAATAAACTAGATTTATAGATTATATTTTACTCTCAATTGTAAACCAAATTATTGGTTATAAATAATAGTATATTTTATTAAGTCGTCATTGATAACTTAAGGATTCAAAATAAGTAATATGATGTAAACGAATATTTAGGAAACAATATTAATTTGATATTTAATTTGATCTAATACTATTTTACAAAACTGAAATGTACCTACCCATAATATTGATTAAATAGCAAAATATTAATTCCTAATAAACAAATTTAATACATCACTAATTTATATTCAAAATGATATGAATAAATGAACTAAGTAACTTGAACATTTTAATTACATTTTTAATCTTTTCCACTTTTAGAATAGTCATCTCCATCTATATTGATTTAGAATCTATTCTCAAAACGCACAAATTTAAATTGCTTTCCAAGGTCTTTAATATTTAGAACACTTATAGAATAAAAATCCAATTTTAAATTAATTCTATGCAGAGGATAAAAATTTATATGAAAACCTTTTGATGGAAATATTTTTTTGGGTCGGTATTAATAAATAAATTTAGTTTCAACATAATTTAATAAATTTATTTCTCAATACTAATTTGAGATACTATTAGATATTTAAATTGTCTGCTTCGATGATGAGTGGCTGAAATTTACATTTATTTTTAATTAAAGTTGAGATAAATCTTTTCTCATACTTTCTAACTTTTTTTATTTACCGAATTAAAATTAAAGTAGCCTTGTAATTTTATTTTAAAATTGACATTAAAGATATCCTATAGCAGTGTTGCTAAAAAAAAATATAGAACATAAAATATTTTGGCTTTTATTATTTGCAAATAAATAAATACGATGATATTAATTTAGATACCAAATTAGTCTATAATTAATTAATTAAAAGTCAGTAAATATATTCATGCAATCCTTGTAAAAAAATTTCTGCTTCAGTGTTACAAATAAAGAAAGCTCAAAGAAAAATTTGTTTTAGCAAGCATAAAAATATTCTGATACCAGATGTTTAAAGTTTGTCAGTTTTCATGTTGTATAAATTTAGCGATTTTAAATTGTATTTTGTAATTATTTATCACAAGTTACTAAAATATTCAATTCTAAGCGGAAAAAAATCAATTATATTTATTGTAATTCTGAAATATAGTGTAAATAAAATATTACTGCATAATTAATTATCCATCCATCAATTCATCCACATAAAAAAGATATTTATTTAAAAATGAATAAAAATTTTTTTAAATGTGTTAATGTTTTTTTTAAGAATTAAGCTGAGAAAAATATATGTATGTGTAAGGAAATAACACTAATATTTGAGAGGATTAACTTAAATATTTATCTCTAAGTTAAGTTTGTGTTTAATAATTTCATCAAGAGAGATAAATAAAAAATGTAAGACAACCTTTTATGGTAATTAAATTAAAGAAACTGGAAGAAAAATAAAAAAAGTTAATACTTGTAATCTTATAAAAAAGCTATTATAGGCGACTATAAACAATTTTATTATTTGTAGAAAAAGAAAGATTTTTCTTTAATATTTATTCTTATTTTATATTGTTAATGGAGATAAATAATAAAGTTAAGTCTTCCTTCACATTTCACTTTATTACTTAGCAGAAAAGAATAAAATGAAAAAATAGATTGGTTGATTATTTGTATTAAAACCAATAAGGGAACAAAAAATAGTGAGCATTCTAAAAATAAAAATTGTATTTTTTTGTTTAATTTAAAGATGTATTAAATTAGTGAAGAATAACATAGGAGAGTAATTCTTTTATTATTAATTTAATCGAAGAGAATCAAAATGTGTAATTCAAAAGATATTATTACTACTTCTTTATTTCTTTTCAAACAAAAAATTTCAAAGCTTAGTTTAATATGACGGCATTTTAAAAAACCAAAATAATTCTCATATTTTATCATTACTGTTTGTTTGGAAGGCATTTTTGGAATACTGTTCAAAGGTTTTTAAATTAATAATAAAAAAATATTATAATTTGTTGCATTTTTTTAAAAGTTTGGGATAAATTGATAAGACTAGTTGAAAAATAAATAATTTATTATCTAAACAAAAAGAAAATAAATAAATAAATTACACTACTCGTTCGGAATCAATTTATTGAAAACAAATCAATATAATTTTACTTATTGAGAATGAGTGATTTTCCTTCACCTGCTACATTAGATTAATTAAAAAGGTCAAAATTAACAAATATAGTGAGCAAATATGAACGTGAAGTGCTTAACATTAAAAATTATTTATATTTATGCTTTTGTATTATTTTTGTTTTGATTTAAATTTTTATTTGTCTGACTAATTAGTATTTTGAATTTAATCTAGAAATAAAAGATGGAGCATTGTTTTCAACATTCAATTGATTGCGTGTTCATCTATTGTGAATCCTTTGTTTATTTATTTAGTCTTTTATTATATTTTAGATGCTTTCGATATTCTGGGTAGAAACTCACAAATATTAACATTTTTGATAATCTTGAAGTGTTTTTTATAAAAATATTAATATATCCTCAAAATTGTTTACTGTACTTACAGAAAGAAGAGCTAAAATAAAGTGTAATTAAACAAAAACATATGCCTCTGTATGGAACTATTATTAAGTAAATATTTTGTTCATTTTTATCATATTGATTGCTTGATATTTGTGTTGTCTCTCAGTGAAAATTGTTAATAAATACATAGAAAAAAAATAAAAATAGATAAGAAATTATCCAAATAATAAATTAGACACCTACCTCACATTAATTTAATTAAGACGTTCTATTCTTTTTTAATTAAGAAAATAAATAAATAAATTCATTTTTATTTTGTACTCGCACTTATATTAATTTGATGGATAAATTTTTATTTATTTATAGCAAATTTATTTAATCTGTTTACTTGTTGTGTAATAGAGGGTGGGGTCCATAGATAGATATATAGATACTGTATGGCATAAGTCCTTAGTTTAGAGAGTAAATAAAAATAAGTGATTATGCAAAAAATTAATAAAAATTCAATGAATCTTAATTAATTTGAGATTAATTGAGAGGTAGAAACTGGAGGGTAAAAAATAAAAAAAGAAGCTAGTGGGGAAAAGAGTCAATAAATTGGTAAATTAAATTAGCAAATCAAATTTATTAATCACTATTTTTAATAAATGATGATATTTAATTTGATTGATCAAGAATGCATGCAATGTCAAACACATATTAATTAAATAAATAAAACCTTCTAAGAAGTAAATTTAGGTATTGAGGGAAGAATATCAATTAAATTAAGTGCAAGACAAATTAATTAATTTTAATTGCTTTTACAAAGTAAATCTTTTAATAACTTAATCAAGATAGACAAACAACTTTTAGGTTTTCCAGACATTTAGCAGTCTTTCTCTCTAGTTTAAATTTCAGACTTTCTGTCAAATTCATAATCATTAAAATTAACAAAAAAAGTCAAATAAAAAAATAAATAAACAAAAAGCTGTAAAATGAATAAAGCTTTAATTGCTGTGCTTATGCTCTGCATCGTCGGAAGTAGCATGGCCAAGGTTGATCCTGAAACATGTTTCACTTAGGCTGCTGCTTTCACCCACCAAGTTAAGATATTCACTGCCTCCGTCCACGCCCAACCCCTCTAAGTTGCCAACTTGCTTGGTAGCGCTTATGACACTTTCGAAGCTGTCAATCCCTTAATCAACGGATGTGGCTTAGATTTCCCCTTACTCGATAAGGTTGATGGATTCAAGCCTGCTAATGCCACCTAATGTTTCAGTAAGTTTATTTATCAAAATATTTTTATTCAAAAAATGTTGTTTTTGGTTGACTTTCTTGTATTCTTCGAAAACTTATCTTTTTTGTTGGATTTTGTGCAATGAATGCTCTTTCTTGCCTTATAAGGGAAAAAATAATGACAAGGGATTTAATAATTTGATTTGCTAGATTATAATCAGGTTTTATAAACACATATATTTCTTTTGCGATAAGGTTTCTTCTGAGCTAACAAAAATTAATTAATTATTAGAACTAATTTATGGCTTTGCTTTTACTATTTACCATTCTCAATATTATTATAAGACAAAATTATTAATTAATCAAATCTGATGATTACTCAAATCCATCAAACATAAATAAATATTAGGCAGATTGATTTATCTTTATCGCGATTTTTATATGTAAGGAGAAAAGATTTATATTGAAAACAAACCTGACTTTTGATAATCTGTATTTTTTTGAGAATAAAATTCATACAAAGAGATAATAAAAATCTTAAAAACAAAAATATCATTTTCGATAATAAAAGAATTTACCAAGAACGAACATCAATCAATTATTTTCTTCTTCTTCATCTTCTTCGAGCTTTATTAAATGTATTTTTATTAAATTAACTAAAGCTGATATTGAAACTATTGCCAACATCGCCATCGAACTCAAGACCTCCAATGATGTTAAGGATTTAGCTGACAACATCATCAATGTCTTACCCAAGATTATTGAAGCTTTCAAGGCTTTCAAGCAAGCTAAGGTTGATTGCAAGATCGTTGAAAAGTAATCTGCCACTTTACTTGCCAACAATGGTTTCGATGCTAACATCTTCAAGTGCATTGAAGATGCTTAAGTCACCTTGAAGGATGCTAAGTAATTCGTTAGCGACTACAAGAACAACACCAACATGACCATGGTTTAACTTTTCGATGAAGCTGAAAAGGTTTATGAAGACCTCGTTGGTCTTAACTAAGACTGTGGAATCCAAAAACTCACTAACTTCACCCTCCCCTAAGTCAAGAATGTTGATGAATTGAGAACCTGCGTTAAGGACCTCAGCCAAACTGTCCAAGCTGTTGAAAACACCTTCACTATCTTGAAGAACAGATAATTCGCTCAACTTTTCAATGCCACCAAGGGTGTCTACACCGCTATCTCTGCTGATATTGCTGAATGCCCCAAGAAGATCTAACTCAAGTCTGCTGATATCTTTGCCTGTCTCGCTGACGGTCTCTCTGTTGCTTCTGACTTGAAGGCTTTCGTTGATGCTTCCAAGACCAAGAATACCAAGGATATTGTTATCGGTGCCTACAAGGTCTTAGGTGAACTCGCCCCCTTAGCTAAGGACTGTGACTTGAACTTACCTATTGATATTCCTGAAATCAACCCCGCTGACTTAGAAAACTGTGCTGCCAACACTGATAGTTTAGTCCAAACTATTAAGCAACTCGCTGACGACATCTCCAACAAGAAGATCTGGAACGTTGTTCACGATGCTACTGATGCTATTAAGGCTCTTAAGGTTATCATCTCTGCTTGCGATAACCAACCCAAGTTACAATCAGCTTCTACTGATATTATTGGTTGTCTTAACGGTGCTAAGGCTCTCTATGAAAACATCACCACCTTAGTTGATAACTCTAAGGCTAAGGATGTTCCCCAAATTGTTGTTGGTGCTTACACCATCGTTGAATCCTTATAGCCCCTTGTTAACACTTGTGGTATTAACTTCGATTTACATATCCCCGTTATCACTTTCCCTGACCTCAATGGTTGCGTTGTCGACACTCAATCTTTGATTTCTGGTATTAAGAGCATTAAGGATGATTTCAGTGAAAAGAACTATACCAAGGTTTTCGATGATGCTGCTGCTGTTGTTCAAAACCTCTAATCTATTGCTGTTATTTGCAAACCTGCCAAGAACCTCCTTTCTGACAGCAACAACATTTTAACCTGCATTAACAAGTCTAAGGATCTCTACTTAAATATTGAAACCCTTATTAACGATAGCAAAAACAAGGCTCCCATTAATGAAATCGTTGTCTTATCTTACAACATCATTGAATCCTTATAACCTTTGGTTGATGAATGTGGTATTAAGGCTAACTTACACATTCCCGCTATCACTTTCCCTGATCTCAATGGTTGCGTTGTTGATACTTAAGGTTTAGTTAACTCCATTAAGGAAATTAGAGATGATATCAAGAATAAGGATTTCGCCAAGATTTTCGATCACGTCTCTGCTTCAGTTGCTTATTTCTAATAAATCTCTAAGGAATGCAAGCCCACCAAGAATCTCTTGAAAATCGATGTTGTTACTTGTTTGAAGGAAGCTTAAACCCTCTACAAGAACGTTGAAACTCTCATCTAAGACTCCAAGAACAAGGCTCCCATTAACGAAATCGTCGTTTTATCTTACAACATTATTGAATCTTTATAACCCTTAGTTGATGGTTGTGGTATTAAGGCCAACTTACACATCCCCGTTATTACTTTCCCCGATCTTAACGGTTGCGTTGTTGACACTGAAGGATTAGTTAACACCATTAAGGCTATTAAGGATGCCATCTAAGAAAAGAAATTCGAAGAAATCTTCACTTAAGTTGCTACCGCTGTTACTACTCTTAAGTCTATCGCTGCTGAATGCAAGCCCACCAAGAACCTCTTGAAGATCGATGTTGTTACTTGTTTAAAGGACGCTTAAGCTCTTTACAAGAACGTCGAAACCCTCATCTAAGACTCCAAGAACAAGGCTCCAGTTAACGAAATCGTCGTTTTATCTTACAACATCATTGAATCTTTATAACCCTTAGTTGATGACTGTGGTATTAAGGCCAACTTACACATCCCCGTTATTACTTTCCCCGATCTTAACGGTTGCGTTGTTGACACCTAAGGATTAGTTAACACCATCAAGGCTATTAAGGATGCCATCTAAGAAAAGAAATTCGAAGAAGTCTTGACCTAAATCGCTACCGCTGTTACTACTCTTAAGTCTATTTCTAGCGAATGCAAGCCCACCAAGAATGCCCTCAGAATGGATATCTTACAATGCCTCTCAACTGCCACTAAGGTTTTCAAGGATGTTAAGAACTTTGTTTCTATGACTAAGGATCACTCCCCTGTCAACGAAATTGTTGTTAATGCCTTCAACGTTATTAAGGAACTCTAACCCTTCTTAAATGCCTGTGATATTAAGGCTGACTTACATATTCCCGATATTGACTTCAATGACCTTAATGGTTGCATTGTTGATGGTTCAAATATCATTGATGACTTCAAGACCCTCCAAAAACAATTAGAAGATAAGGACTATCTTTCCATTATTGGTACCATCCAATCTGCTATTGCTCACGTCAAGGCTGTTTCTGATGAATGCAAGGTACATAAGAACAACTAACCTACTCTCTAAGCTGCCATTAACTTGAACATCAAGTGCGCTAAGAATCTCGTCAATGTTGCTAAGGATTCCTTGAAGGTCTACAAAGAATTAAGTAATGATTCTGTTGATATCCTCGGAAAGCTCTTATCCATCTAAGGTTTATTGAAGGATCTCTAACCCTTCTGTGACGAATGTGGTATCGACATTAAGATTCCCGAAATTCCCTCTGACAGCAAGGTTATTACCACCGTCGAATGTATTTCTGATGTTGCCAAGGCAGTTGAATCTCTTAAGAATATCTATGTTGATGCTACCAACATTAATATTATTAAGGTTGCCAAGGACGTTAAGGAAATCTACACCAGCGTTACTGCTGCCGTTACTGTTTGCACTCAAATCAACAAATCTTCTTTCTGAAGTGAGTGAAATAAACAAAATAAACATTTTTTACTGAAATAATAAAAATTATTAAAGAATATATAGATAAATTGTAGTACATATAATAAATGGTGTAAATCCCATTATTTTATATTTGATAACAATTTTCTTTTAACAAATTTGAGTCATTTATTGAATAATTTCATTAAATTTATTTTATTTTATCTTTATTAAAATTAATTGTCCCTCTAAATAATTTTTTTTATTTATTTAATCAATTAATAATTCATCTTTAATTTTTTGGTGAGATTGAAATTCAAAAAATTTAGTAAAATAAAAAGATAAAATTTGAATTTCTTTTTAATAGTTTTTGTTTAATATTATATTAATTTTATTTACAGAAAAAAGTAAATTTAATTTGAAAATAATTTAATTATTTGTTTTTTATTTTTTGTAAATAGATTGTTTGTGTTTATTTTTTCAATTATTTTTATAGACTTTCCATCACATCTTTCAAAATATCTTTATAACACTCTCCTTTTAAGTAATATTTATCTATTATAAGAAACTTTTTATAAAATAAATAAACCTCTCCAAAATCTAATTTAGTTATTTATTTTTGAAGTCCAAACTTTGAAAATGAGCTATTCTTTAAGGACTTTAATTTTTCATTAATTTTGAATGAAAGTCCACTCATCCAATTAGAATCAAAATCAAGGTTTTTTAATGAAGTAAAAAAAAATTGAATCTAAAAGTATTTAAAATGCTCTATCCTGTCTCAGACTCTTTTTTTTAAAGAGATCATATATTAAATTGAGTAAAAATAAATTAAGTTTTTTAGCTAAATCTGTATATTTATAACATCAATTACCTCCAAAAGATATAGCACCTATGACTTTTGTACAAATTTTACAACAAAAACCTGATAAAAATGTATAGCTCCACCTAACTTTCTAAACTATTTAAAAAGGTTTCACTATCAAATTTTTATATTGTCACTCATTAATTATATTACAAGCAATAATTTATCATCAAGATAAGAAATTACGAGACTTTTACAAATTCTTATTTGAAATTCATACTTTTATGAGTATGCTCATTTATTTATTTTAATTTAATTAATACTTCTCTTCGATTTGATACTTAAAACACCTTAAAAAAATTAATTCTAATATAAAAGTAAAAAAATTAATATTGGGTTAGAATAAAATCAAATCTAAATAATAAAATTTTGGCATAGAAATTAATTATTTAGTATATTTGAACTTCATATAAATTTTCTTGATTGACAAGCGATAGCAAAAGAATTAAAAACTACTACTAATGTTCATTTTTTTCCTTAATTATTATTTAGAAATATTTAGAGCACAAATCAATTTTTTACTAATCACATAAAGATAACTAATTTTTGATAAAAATGTATCATCTTTCAATTAAAAATTTTTCTTTTATTTAGATTTTCTAATTTGAAGATTGGATACTACAAAAAATTAAACTAAATTTTTTTTATAATAAATTTCATTAAATTTTGAGAATAGTAATTTTATATAGATTTTAATTATTGTAATCTTGGATACCACAAAACCAAAATTAATTTTTCTGTTATCAGAAATTTCATAAAATAATCAGAAAAATAAAAGAAGTAAATATATAAATAAAGAAAATAAATAAAATCTAAATAAAATAAACATTTTTAATTGAAAGATGATAGGTTTATCCAAAATTAGTTATCCTTATGTGATTAGTAAAGTATTTATTTATTTTCTTTATTTATATATTATATATTTGCTTCTTTTATTTTTCTAATCATTTTATAAGAAAAATTAATTTTGGTTTTTTGTAGTATCCAAATTTCAATTTAATAAAATCTAAATAAAATTAATTTGAAACTTGGATACTACAAATAGACAAAATTAATTTTTCTTTGATTAGAAATTTGATAAATAGAAATAGAAAAAAATAAAAGCTTAAAAAATAAAGAAAATAAATAAATAATGAAACAAATAATAATTAAATTCAAAAAAACAAATACTAAAGATCAAAAAAAATGAAAATCTAAGTTTTAATTACCTTTATTGCTTATTTACTAATCTTAACTAGTGCTGATGATCAGAATTGCAATTTTACTGTTGATCAATTGAATAATAAAGTATTAAAAACTGTTCCAGTCAAAGATTGTACTAATTGCTTTACATCAGATGTTACATTAACTATATAGTCAAATAGTTAATAAATCACTTCTCTAAAATTGACAGCCGTCGAATCTAGCAGCCCTGTATAAAGTGTAACTCTATAACCTGCTGGTAAATCTTTAATTCTTAATACTAGTTTTAGCATATACTATCCTCTTCCTATAGGTTATTCTTAAAGTAATTTTATTACCTCCTGCAAAACAAAATAAACTAACGGATAAATTGTTTCTTTTGAATTAACTTTCTCAGCTGATATAAATGACCATTACTAAAATTTTACATTAAATAATGGATATACTAGTGGCTTATTACTTAAAAGCGTAGCTTCTATCTCAATGATTATTTGTTTTGTGCTATTTTTCTGAACCAATTAGAATAGAAAATAATTTTAAAATAAATTTTTATATTTTTTATATTTTTAGTCAGGTTTTAGTATTTAAAAATAATTGAAAAATGAAAAATATGATTTCTTAAAAAATACTAGTTTCAAAATTTTATTTTTATGTTTTTAAAAATATATGAATTATAATTTAAGAATTAGTATTACCTAATTTGTAAATTTTTTATAATGTACTTCTAGTTAGTCTAGGTTCAGATAAATTTCATAGAATATTTAATAAAATATTTTTTATGATTAAAAAAAGAAAGTTTCCTTCAAAAACTGATAATGGAATCAATAATTAAATTTTCAAAAATTACAAAAAAATATTAAATGTATTAAATATAAATAAATATTTTTATCTATTTTAATTTCTCACATTTTTTTTAGTATTTAAAAGTTTGTTTTTTAAGAAATAAAATTGATAGAATAATAATGTTAAATATAACGAAGAATAAATTAATTTGAGTTTACTATAATAAAACAAATAAATAAATTATATCTTACTAAATTAGAGATCAAAACCTTAAATTTAAATTTCGCTTATTGTAAATCAAAATGGCATTTTACTCTATGATAAATAAACAAAAATAAAAAAGTTAGAATAAAAAAATGAGAAAATTTATTTATCTTAAATATTTATATTCATTACAGACAAATAATAAAAATATATTTTTCTTCAATTTATATAAATATATGTCAAGTTATTAATAACATATAAAAAAATATTGTATTAAATAAGAAATAATAATAAAATAAATAATATATAAGTAAAATTATCAAAAATTTAAAGATATCAATCACATAATAATTAAAATGGAGAAATGTTAAAGGATAAAAAGAAAAAACATAATAATTATTAATAAATAAAGCAAACAGAAATTTATAATTAAGAAAAAATTTTAATTAGTTAGATTAATAATTATAATGAAGTGACCAATATATTATAAATTATTTTTTTTAAAAAAGAAGATGGATAATATGTAGATCGAAAAATAAGAAAGTAAAATATTAAAGATGCATATGATGAATTATTATAATTATCTAATAAATTTTTAAGTTAATAATAAGAATAAAAAACTAATAAAAAAGTTAGAATAAAATAAATAATTGTAGTTAGACAAAAGTATTCATTATTAAATATTTTTGAAAATTAATTTGATTGAATAATAAAAACAAGAGAAATAAATTATATTGCTGTTTTACATATTTTTGCTTAAATGAAATATTTAGAGTAAAAACTAGATTTTTATTTTCTATAGACAGGCATAGAGAAAATTAAATATGTTTTTAGATACAAAATCTGAATCAATTTATTGATTGATGAATCACTTTCTTAAATATTAATTTTAATATCTTTAATTTTGAAAACTAGAAAAGTCCAAATTTAATTTTTTTTTGATCAGGATTTCATAAAATTTGTAAGAAAAATAAAAGCTATAAAAAATAAATAAAAAAGTTAGAATAAAATAAATAATTGTAGTTAGACAAAAGTATTCATTATTAAATATTTTTGAAAATTAATTTGATTGAATAATGATAGTAAGAGAAATAAAGTATATTGTTGTTTTACATATTTTTGCTTAAATATTATTTTGAAATATTTAGAGTAAAAACTAGATTTTATTTTCTATAGATAGGCATATAGAAAATTAAATATGTTTTTAGATACAAAATCTGATCATCAATTTATTGATTGATGAATCATTTTCTTAAATATTAATTTTAATATCTTTAATTTTGAATACTAGAAAAGACCAAATTTAATTTATTTTGATCAGGATTTCATAAAATTTGTAAGAAAAATAAAATCTATAAAAAATAAATAAAAAAAATAAATAATCAAATAATAATTAAATTCAAAAAAAAAAAAACACTATTGATTAGAAAAAAATGAAAGTTTAATTTTTAATTACCTTTACTGCTTATTTGCTAATCTTAACTAGTGCTACTGATGAGAATTGCACTTTTACTATTGATCAGTTGAATAACAAAGTATTAAAAACTGTTCTAGTCAAAGATTGTAATAATTGCTTCACATCAGATGTTACGTTAACTATATAGTCAAATAGTTAATAAATCACTTCTCTAAAATTGACAGCCGTCGAATCTAGCAGCCCTGTATAAAGTGTAACTCTATAACCTGCTACTAAATCTTTAACTATTAATACTAATTTTAGCATAGACTATCCTACTCCTGGAGGTTTTTCTTTCAGTAATTTGATTATCTCCTGTAACACAAAATTAATTTCAGGAAAACTCTACTATGATTTAACTTTCTAACCTAAAGTAAATGGCTAATTCTAAATATTTACATTAAATAATGGAATTACTAGCAGCTTATTAGTTAAAAGTGTAGCTTATATCTCAATGATTATTTGTATAGTGCTATTTTTCTGAGTAAAGTATAAAAGAAAATAATTTATGTTTAAAAAGTAAATTATTATATCTTTTATTTAAATTTTTAATCAACTTTTAGTATTTAAAAATAATTGAAATATACAAAATATGATTGCTTATAAAATATTTGTTTGCTTTAAATTTTATGTATTTAAAAATGCAGTATGCGAGTTATATTTAATAATTTACTTTTAGTTAGGTTGAATATCATATAATATTCATTAAATATCTAAAATAATACTTTTTATAACAAAAAGAAATTTTATTTCAGGAAATGAAAATGGTATCTATCTATCTATCTAATAAATATTCAAATATAAATTTTACTATCAACTAATACTAAGAAATTTAATTCTTGCTACTTATGATGATATTAGAATTTGATAAATTAATACAATTTCTACAATAATATTTTTTAGCTTTTTAATCCCCTTAATAAAAAAGCCCAAAAATTTCAAAAAATATTGAATATTGTATTTGAACACTTTTTATAGTATATATTTATATATTATATTCAATTTATGAATTTTATTTAATAGTGATATTTTTTACATACTTTTTCATAAATATTTTAATTTTTTTTTCATTTTAAATTAAACATAATTTAGATATTAAAATATAATGCTATCCAGTTCTTCATATTTTAATACCTGGATTAGCAATATATAAGTGGATAATTGAATGTATATATTATAAAAATTATTTTTAAAAAGGTGTGTGTAAGAAAAGTGCTAATACGCTGATTTATACTGCGACAAAAATTATTTTATCTTCTACACTATAAACTTTTAGATCCATAAAATTTATTCAATTGAATAAAATATTCAGTCTAGCTTTCACAAAATTATATCATATTTTTAGATAATTTAAGTATGAAAATTGAATAAATCTTTACTAAACTATTAAAATATTATAAAAATAGTAAAATATTTCACTTTAACTTATATAAAAAAATAAACATTCTAATAATAAGAAAAAATTAATAAATATAACTCGATCCATATTTTATCATCCTAAAAGTACTACCGTGGGTAAGCATGAATAAGGATTATCTAAAAAAAAAATCTTTTTAAAAATTTTTTATCCTTTTTTATCCTTATTTTAAATTCATCATTATTCAAAAATTTTCCTTATTCATGAGTACCTACGGTACTCTTTAATTTTTTTTATGGTCATTATTTATAATAAGAAAGTATAATCAGAAAAATTTTATTTTATTTTAATATTTTTATTTTGAAATAAAACAAAAAAATTATATTAATTTATTTTTTTTAACTTAAACTTAAATTATAACTTAAAAGCATAAATTATTATAGATTAAAATATCTATTTATATTTTTTGCTGTAATATAATACTTTTAAATACTATAGTAGACTATTTTATATTGTAAGATATAACATAAGCCAACATATTTTGAATGATTTTGATTAGAAAAAATTAATCTTAATTATTCCTTATCTAATTTTAATCAGAAAAATTTTACACCATACTCAAATTTTAATTAGAAAAATAATTTATTTAGAAAGAGATCCATAAAATTTATTTTGAATAAAACATTAAGTCTAGCTTTTCCAAAATTATATCATATTTTTACATAATTTAAGTATAAAAATTGAATAATTCGATAATAAAATATAAACTATTCAAATATTATTAAAATAGTAAAATATTTCACTTTAACTATAATAAAAAAACAAGCAATCTAATAATAAGAAAAAGCTAAAAATATAACTCGATCTTTTTTTTATCAGACTAAAAGTACTTCTCTTTAATCTATCTTGTGGGCATTTCTTATAAGAAAGTATGATCAGAGAAATTTTATTTTATCTTAATATTATAATTCTGAAATAAAACAAAAAAATAATATTGATTAATTTTTTTTAACTCAAGTTTAAATTATAACTTAAAAGCATAAATTATGATAGATTAAAGTATCTATTTATATTTTTTGCTGAAATATAAAACTTTTAACTATTATAGTAGGTTACTTTATATTGTAAGACATAACATAAGCCAACATGATTTTGATTAGAAAAAATTGATCTTAATGAAACCTTATCTAATTTTAATCAGAAAAATCACCAAACCCTAATTTTAATTAGAAAAAGAATTTATCTAATAGCTTATAAAAGAATATTTAAAAAACCATTTAATTTTATCTTCTCCATAATTTAAACCTAAAAATTTTATTTCTATAAATTATTTTTTGGTTTAACCATTTTACTCTTAAGCTTTACAACTATAAACGTTAATATAAGTATAACAAATCATTTTTAAGTTATAATAAATTATAAAACATAAATTATATGTTTTAGAGTTTTAGTGTTTTAGTGAATGTAATGTTTTTTAGCTTTGACTCAATCAAATTTAATTTCATAATTATTTCTTTTCAATAAAAAAATTTCTTATCTAAATTAAAAAATTTCTAATAGAAATATTTGATATTAAGTTTAAAACGATGATAACTTTACTAAACAAATTATAATTTATTAACAAGTAAAACTTTAAAAAGGTAAAAAAAAAAATGAATTTTAAACAAATAATCTTTATCACTATTTAATTACTCATTTTAGTCAGTGCTGATATCTGTACTTTTTCTATTAGTTAGCTTAATAATTAAGTATTAAAGCTCATAAACTAAAAAAAATGTGATTAATGTTTCACTTCTGATGTTAAGTTGACTATTTAATCTAACAATTAGTAAATCACCTCTCTAACTTTAACAGCTACCTCTAATTTGAGTACAGTCACATCTCTTGATTTGTTACCAACCACCAAATCTTTGACTTTAAACCAAAGCTTTATGGTAGAATCATATACTAAAGGAATGATTTCTTCTTTCAACTTTATCGCTTAATGCAAAACCCAAATAGTTAATGGATTTGTTGTTTAAGATTTGGTGTTTAAAGCTATATTAAATGAAAATACTCAATATTTTGAACTAAGCAACGTAACTAGTGGGACTAGCGCTAGTGGAACAAGCGGAACTAGTGGAACAAGCGGAACTAGCGGAACTGGTAGTAATAGCTCATCAACAAAAATAAGCTTTGTATTATTTATCCTTAGCTTATATTTGCTATTTTGATAATCATAAAATTAGAAGCAAATTATTAAAAAACTATTTAAATTTTTTTATATTTAAATTGTGTTTGTTTATTGTTAGTAAAAACCCTTTATGGTAATTAATTCATCTCACTCAAAACAAAATAATTGATTGATTTTAAATAATAAAATATTTAAAACAAAATTTACTTAATATTAAAAAAGAAAACTTTTCTTAATATAAGAAGTTTAAAAATTAAAATTAAATTTTAAGTGACTAATCCAGTGGATACATATGTCAGTGAAATTCTAATAGCTTTTCATGTTAAAATTGAATTTTTAGTATTCTTCATGCAGAAATAATTATCCGAGAATAGCAAAAAATACTGAATATTGTATGTATTTGAACATTTTTTATACAATATATTATATATTATATTCAATTTATGAATTTTATTGAATAATACTTTTTCAAAATATTTTAATTTCTTTTTTTTATTTTAAATTAAGCATAATCCAAATATTAAAATATAATGCTATCTAGTTCATCATATTAGATACCTTGATCAGCAATATTTAGAGTAAAAGCCAGTTTTATATATTTAAAAGACATATAGTAAAAGAAATAAATTAAAAAATCTGATCGTCTATTTGCTGATGAATAATTTTCATTTACATCTATTTTAACTGCTTTAATTTCAGAAACAAGAAAGATCAAATTTAATTTTTTTTTTTTTTGATCAAAATTTAATAAAGTTAGTAAGAATAATAAAATATATATTAAAATAAATAAATAATCAAATAGTAATTAAACCAAAATTAAAAAATAATGAAACTCTCATTTTTAATTACCTTCACTGCTTATCTGCTTATCTTAACAAGTGCTGCTGACAATAATTGCAATTTTACTATTGATCAGTTGAACAACAAAGTATTAAAAACTTTTAAAACCTAAGATTGTGATAATTGCTTTACATCAGATGTTACATTAACTATATAGTCAAATAGTAAATAAATCACTTCTCTAAAATTGACTGCCGTCGAATCTAGCAGCCCTTTATAAATCTTAACTCTATAACCATTTTCAGAAACTTTAATTCTTAATACTAGTTTTAGTATATACTATCCTCTTCCTAATGGTTTTTCTACAGAAAATTTGATTACCTCCTGCTAGACAAAATAAATTAACGGAAAAATTGCTTTTGATTTAACTTTCATGCCAAAAGTAAATGACCATTATTACTAAATATTTACATTAAATAATGGATATACTAGCAGCTTATTGCTTAAAAGTGTAGCTTCTATCTCAATGATTATTTGTATATTGCTATTTTTCTGAGTAAAGAAGAATAGAAAATAATTTAAGTTGAAAATTAAATTAAAATATCTTTTATTTATATTTGTTGTAAATTTTTAATATTTAAAAATAATTGAAATATAAAAGTATGATTGATTAAAATATACTTAAAATTTAATTTGATTATTTCTATTGTTATTAATTATTGTGGTTGTGAAGGTGTTAAATTTAATTTCAATAAAATTAAAAATTTTATTCACCTTTTATAATTTTATTAAAAGAGATAGTTTATCATCAATATAAAAAAATCTTAGCCCGCCCTTCTAAAAATTATCAATTTGAACTTTATACTTTTATTAGTATGCTAATTAATGAATTTACTTATTTTAATTTAATTAATACTACTATGATTTGATATTTTTAAGCATTTTAATTTAAAAATTAAAAATAAAAAAAAGTTAGATAAAATAAATAATTATATTTTAACATAGATATTAATTATTAAATATATTTGAACTAAATCTAATCTGATTTACTAGAGATAGGAAGATAATTAAAGGATACTGCTATATTACATATTTTTCCTTCAATTTTATTTTAAAATTTAAAGTAAAAACCAGCTTTTTAATTTCTGAAGGCATAAGGAAAATTAAATATATTTTTTGATAAAAAATCTGATCAACTATCTATTTATTGATGAGTAATTTTCTTAAATCAATATCTTTTAAATTTTTGATACAAAAAAAATCAAATTTAATTATCTGTTTGATAAGAAATTTCATATAATTAGTAAGAAAAAGCTATAAAAAAATAAAGAAAATAAACAAATAATCAATAATAATTAAATTCAATCAACCAAATACTAAAGACCAAAAAAAATAATGAAATTCTAATTTTTGATTGCCTTTACTGCTTATTTATTAAACTTAACAAGTGCTGATGATAAGAATTGCAATTTTACTATTGATCAGTTGAACAGCAAAGTATTAAAAACTGTTATAGTCGAAGATTGTGATAATTGCTTCACATCAGATGTTACATTAACTATATAGTCAAATATTAATAAATCACTTCTCTTTAATTAACTGCAGTCGAATCTAATGACCCTGTAAAAAGCGTAACTCTATTACCATATACTAAATCTTTAACTATTGATACAAGTTATAGCATATAATATTCTACTCCTAGACCAATTATCAGTAATTTGATTTCCTCCTGCTAAACAAAATAAATTAATGGATAGCTCACTTATGATTTAACTTTCTTGCCTTAAATTAATGAGCATTACTAAGCATTTAGATTAAATGTTGCAAATGCTGGAAAAACTAGTAACTCATTACTTATAAGCGTAGCTTACATCTCAATGATTATTTGTATCATACTATTTTTCTGAGTAAAGATTTATATTTAAAAGTACATTATAACATTTTTTATTTATATTTGTAACCATCTTTTAGCATTTTATTTGTTTGTTAAATGTTTCTCAATTAACCAATATTTTATATGTTATTAGCTTAACCATTAAAAAATCTACAAATCAAAATAAAATGATAAAATAATTTTTACTCTATATTTGATAATTCAATATGTTTAAAATTATAGAATATAGTTAAATTTTATTATTTTATCTTAAAATATGTTCTAAACAAAAATATTTTCTTACAAATACTAAACCTCAAAAGCCTATGTTGGAATTGATTTAAAATAATAAATTTAACTTTTATAATTAAATCTATTATTTTCTTATTTTTAAATTATATATTCTTTTCATCATACTTATAAAATATATTTAGAGGGAATTTTATTTTTTTAAATTTATCAAACTGACTCAAATTATATTTTAAAAACATTCAATATCGAGCATTTGATTATATAAACTATTTTTCTACTAAAAATTAGCATTTTTAAATTATGATTTTTGTTTTTTAAAACTAAACTTCATACTGCATAAAAATTAAATTTGTATTTATGTGAGACTGTGTATTGATCCAATTTTGTACATTTTTCTTAAATTATCTTCAAATAAATTGTATATTTTTGGATATAATTAATTCTCATCAAAATTGGTAATTTTGAGCTTAGGATAGATAGATAGATAGATAGATAGATAGATAGATAGATAGATAGATGGAGGGAAAAAAATGATTATAGTCTTTAAAAGTAAATCAGCATATTTAAAAAATAATTTTATAAAATATGAATTTATTATTAATATTCTAAATAGTATTTATTCTTTAGATACTAAATTTTTTAAAAATCTTTGGCTTTTACTGATGAATGAATGAGTCAAAAATTCACCAATATTTTTTGAAATTTCGAAACCCCTCACCTCACCACTTTTTTAAACACTTATTTTTATACTTAAAAAAGAATAAATACAAAGATTTTTTTGTCATTACTTTAATTGTTTAATTTAAGTTCTTTGTTTCTTTTTATGTTGATTGTGGAAAGGCGCTTATTTTTCTTATTACTCTATTTTATTATTTGTTTGAGATTTCTTATTTAAAAAGATATGAAATTTACTAAAAATAATACAAATATTTAAAAACCATAATTTAATTTCTAGAACTTAATATTTTGTTAAAATATCTTTTGATAAATATCTATTTCTTGTAATAAGTAAAAATTTAATCTAATCATAAAAATATGATCTTAAAATAATAATAAATTGCTGGAATATTAAAATTAAAATAATCGAATTTTAATTATAATTTCTTTATTTATTTACAAAAGCTTAGTTATATTTTAGTCTTAAAATTTTGCTAAAATGTACTAAATTATATAATCAAAAAATAATAAGTAGTACAATCATTACTACATAGAAATATTTCTAAATATTTAAGTTTACTTATTAAAATAACCAAATAAAAGCTCTACATAAAAAACACTTAATAATATTTTTTTATAGAAACTTCTTTAATTATTATAATTTTTTAGTTTAAAATTCATGAATTAGAATAGAAGAATTTTTTTTAATTAGTTTAAAAAATGAGCTCTTTTAAAAAAATACTTTTATTTGAAATATCAAAAATAAAAGGGTTTGAAAATAGATAATTTTTAGAGATAAAAAATTAAAACACTTTTAAACACTTTTATCTCATAAAAAGGTGATATTTATAATTAAATAATTTAGGTGAAGTTTATACCAAAATCATAATGAATTTAAATAAAAAATAAATCTAAAAGCTTTCACTGAAAAAAAGTAAAGTATGCAGTAGTAATTGAAAAGTGATTTAGATCATTTTACTGACGATTAAAAGAAGTTTATTTTATCTCCAAAAAATGTAGATATCAAAGTCAATGCTTGCGCTGGATCAGGAAAAACTGAATGTATTCTTTAATTTGTAAAATAGGCTAGATTGAGTGGAATTAATTATAAGCAAATTTGCATTACTACGTTTAACATCTAAGCAATAAATGATATACATAAAAGAGCAGTCGATTTATTTGGTGAAGAATTAGCTGATGAGATAGAAATCAAAAACTTTGATAAATTGATAACTAAATCTTATGAATCAATCAAAAATTTATAAAATCCTTAACAAAAAGATAATTTTAAAGAAGAGGTAGATATTACCTTAGTTGAAAAATAATTTGAGCTAGTGACCATGGATTACTAAAATTTAAGTAAGGATGATAAAATGTAAATCTTTGGCGCATATAAAATAATTATTTTTGATGAATTTTAAGATATTAATGAACTATAATACAGCTTTTTATTGCTATTCAAAAAATATGGAGGATCAAATATCGTTGTAGTTGGTAATTTATTTATTTATTTATTAACTCATTTAAAATGTATTCTTTATTATTTAATTTATTAATTAGGAGATGTATTTTAAAATATTTATCAATTTAGAGGATCAGATTAAAAATATTTGAGTCATCAAATTAATCAAGACATTCAAAGTATAAACTAAAATTTGAAAAAGAGGGATTAAAAAATTATAGATCTTAGTTTATCTATAAACTTTA